ATATAAGGGATGCGGGTGCGGGTGGCACGTGACGAGCATGAGTGGCACAGGCATGAATGCTAAAGCAGGCACCAGCCTGTTACAATAGCCCCCTCCTATGGGTCGTCGTCGTCGGAGGCGATGTAAGCTGGAGTTCTAGAGCGGGTTGGGGTTGGTGAACGGCTGGATCGTGGGCTAGTTAAATGGCAATCCTTTATATAATGTGTTTCGGAACCGCAATAATAACATAGACCTAGGAACTGTCGCGTATCGTGGCGTACTTGGGCACGTTCTTGGGCCTGTCTCTCGGGGACGATGTATGGTTGGATCTGAGCTGTTCTTATCCTTACTTGGTTGCTTGGTGAAATCGGGCGGGTCTTAGTAGTGTTGACTGATAAGTCCATTGGTTCGAGTTGGTTTATGAATTGACTAGAGGTAGGCTGGTTCTGGGACTGGTTCTGGGACTGGTTCTGGGGTTTCTTCTGGAAATTTGGCTGATTTCTGGGTTCTGGCTGGGTCTGGAATCTTGGCTGGCGACGGTCGTATCGTTGTAAAAACTCGATATAAGCTTCATACGAAAGGCTAAATAGCGAATCGCTAACTTGTTCGAGGGTCTCGCGAAGAGGGCGACGGAGTCCACGGTGAAGTGTGGTTATCGCGAAAAGCGCCTGGTCCACGAGACCTATACTTGCTTCATGCGAAAGGCGTTCAAATCTAGCTAGATAGGCGATGAGGCTTTCATCATCTCTCTGCCGGATATTGGCGAATCGAAGAATATTCTCTTGTTTCTCGCGGGGGTTATAGCATAGACGCTGAAAGTACTGGAAGATCTGATCGGGGTTGGCTTTATCTTGAAGATGTAACACTGATGCTTGTTGAGGTGGTTCTAGGCGATTATAGATATAGTTGAATGCTTGTCGTCCTGTAAGGCCATCGGCCTCTAACTTGGCTTGTATTGCTGGGAGCCATGTACGTAGTGTGAAGGGCTTGCCGTCAAATCGGGGTGGGTCAGGAAGATGGTAATGCTGGTTCTGGTTCTGTTGCGAAGCGATCGCTAATAACTGGTTTTGCTGGTCTGAAAGCTGCTGCTGCATCTGCTGCACAAGAGCTAAAAGGTTGGTCTGGTCCATCGTGGAAAACTGGCGGTTCGTGTACTTCTCGAAAAAGAACCGGAACCGAATCGAAAAGGAAGCTTAATAAATGTGAAGGGCTAATACTAATCTTGAATGCAGAACTAGTGATGCCGACAAACTGTCTTTATTAAGCTTGAAGAGAAGAGAGAGAGACTAGCTATGGACATGTGGCAATATAAGGGATGCGGGTGCGGGTGGCACGTGACGAGCATGAGTGGCACAGGCATGAATGCTAAAGCAGGCACCAGCCTGTTACATTGATTTCCAGATTATATATTTACTAAGATATTTGTAGGCTCCGGTCAATGTCAGTGTCTCTCTCGTGGCGTCAGGCCTGTTGAAAGCCGAAGGCTTGAGCCAACTAAAGAGGAACGGGATATTATTTTAGGCATATTCTGCCGACATTTCAATATCCACCCTCTGTTTCCTGATATCAATGGCACTCGATTTAAGCAGAATCTCCACCAGGAATGTGCCCGAGAAATGTATGATTGGTGCCGATCTCGCGATTATTACCATCTCTGGGCTTACCTCTTTGTCAACTGGTATAGAGATGATCAATGGATTCTCTGGGCTCGGGCAGCTAATCCTGAGAAGATCCCTATCCTGAAAACAACGATGATTGTAGAATCGCATTGGCGAAAGCTAAAGCATGATTATCTTCATCGTTTTAATCGGCCTAGAGTTGACCTAGTGGTATGGGTTCTACTAAGTCGTCTCGTCCCTGATATGGTCTATCAAATGAAGGCTATATTAGGTAGAGAGCAGCGGATCTTTAAAGGACGATGGAGAGAAGCCTTTAAAAGGCAATGGAAAAAGGATGCAAGAAAAACTGTTTGTCTAGATCAGATAAAACAGCATCATACAGATCCTTATCAATGGGTTTGTGCCTGTCCTGCCTTCTTACTTAGTCGATTCTTATGCTGTAAGCATATTATCTACTGTTTTAAGACGCCACCCCCTCAATTCTTTAATACTGTTTCCCGCCATGATACTTGTCCTTTTTGGCGGGATGAGCGATTAGAACTTAAACCAGAGTTCAAACGCAGTGGTAAAGAGCCTACTCCACTACCAGATTATGAAAGCGATACCTCTTCAGCATCAGATAGTGAGGAAGAAATAGAGGAGGATGAGGAAGAGGAGGAGGATATTCAAGCTCAATTAATAGCTTGGCGCCAATTCCAATTTGATACTATATCAATGGTTGATGATCAAGGAGAAAGGTTTGCAAAGAAGTGGCTTCAGTATATCAAAGGCCAAAGGGCTCAAACCCAGAAGCTGATTAATGAAGCTAAAACTATTCGGAGCATGCGGACGATGCCCAAAACTTGGCGGAAGCACGATCATCCACTAGGGGTTTATTTACAGTAGTTAGAATCGGACTTAGAAGAATTGAACTTGATTTGAATTAGTAATGCTATTGAGATTAGTAAGGCTTGGCAAATATCACGTGTGCGACAGTTTTTCGGCTGCCCATTACGCACACTTGAATCCTGGTGAACTATCACGTGGTTGTACCACGTGACCCACCAACCGCATACCTCACGATTCCATCCCGAATTGTTTACGTTCTTCGAGGATTTTGTAAACAGTATGTGCCTAGCTAGTTCTGAATCTAAGATTAGCTTTAGCCCTTCACACCTACTAGGTCTTGAGGCTCGTGTTTTAAAAAAACTACAAGTTGCTTAACCTAAATTTTCAGACATTGATCGGTATTTTGATGAAGCACCTATCCAGATTGATCCTACCATGACTAGTCAAAAGGATTGGCTATTTTTATGGTGGAATGCCCATAAAGGTGAATACCCAAGAATGGCAGCAGCTGCAAGAGACTATCTAGCTATTCCAGCAGCAGAAGTATCAGTAGAGAGACTATTTAGTAGTATCAGAGACCTACTTGGTGTTCGCCGACACTCTATGGCAGGAGAGACTATGCGAAAGATTGTGCTCCTTCGCAATGTCTATCAAGTCAAGTATCATGAATCTGATGATCAGTCTAAGTCTGTCGCTCGCTTAGCGAGTGTAGCTAGCTAGTCGCTCGTTACTGAGAACAGTGAGCTCCAACGAACCGCTACTCAACACCGTAGACAATCCACCGGTCTGGTAGTGGATTCCTACTAGTTGAATATTGCGGTTGTTGTGAAGTCTGCTTTTTCATTGATGAAAGAACTAGCTATTTATAGTATATGGGTGCCCCTCTGCCCTGGACGAATATCAACATTCGTCCGAGATAGAAGAGACGGTGAAGACGGGACATTACTGTCGCGGATGCACATCGCTCAAGGGTGTTGTTTGCGATGAATGCATATCGTTCAAGGATGCCGTGATATACTAATCTAGTTCCCGAGTCACTGTCTTGGCAGAAGCTTTTTCGGCCGAAATACTTTCTGTCTGTTGATGGCCTTGTTTCTCGGCTATCGTAACACTGGAGCAACTCTAAATGTTATTGAAAATAGAGAAACAAGCTTCATCATTTCGTGCAGAACGCGATGCTAATTGTACTAATTTAGGTGCATAAATATCATGTAGGCTGTAATTCGTAAAAGTTATAGTAGGAAAAAACTTAACGTTCGACCTAACTAAGGGTCTCTAAGTCGATTTGATTTATATCAATCAACTCCTTTAGTGCGTTTCTATACTTCTCCTTTATTATCGCATCGGCAGGATTTGATCCTCCTGCGATCCACTTAAGCTCTATCTAGCGTCGTTCATATGTTTAATATAGTGCCATGATATCGATCATAAGTCGTTTTTCTTATATAGTCCTAAGACATGTGACTATATTATATACTAAGCGTGTGTAACAGGTTGAATCCTGGTGAACTATCACGTGGTTGTACCACGTGACCCACCAACCGCATACCTCACGATTCCACCCCGAATTGTTCACGTTCTTCAAGGATTTTGTAAATAGCATGTGCCTAGCTAGTTCTGAATTCAAGATTAGCTTTAGCCCTTCACATACAAAATCCTTCCTCTAACGAGAGTAAAACCCACGACCGACGATAAGAAAAGCGCTCTCAGAAAGTATCTGATCGAGCCACATACGACAGACGAACGAATCGCTCTCGGAAAGAATCCGATCGAGCATACCAACGAATACGAAAAGCTCTTAGAAAGTATCTAATTGAGCGTCCTACGAATACGAAATCGCTCTTAGAAAGTATCTAGTTGAGCATCCGATAAACGAATTGAAGACGGAAAGCATCCGATTCAAACACGAGAAGAAAACGAATATCTTCATCATCATGACTATAAGCGAACCGTCGAGCCCACCCGAGTGGGCCAGGACGTTAATGCAGCACATCAGTCAGACAAGTATTAGTACCAATGAGAGAATTAGAAGTAGACATGTGCATGGGTTGGGTATGGGTCAAAATTCATACCCATACCCAACCCATCAGGGGTAAGGTAAACCCATACCCATACCCAACCCAACCCACGTGGGTATGGGTTGGGTATGGGTCCCATATGGGTATTTTTGATGCCTTAATGCCTGATTTTCGCCTCAACCTAAACTAAATTAGGGTAATTAGTGCCTTAGTGCCTAATTTTTGCCTCAATCTAGTACTAACTAGGTGACAAATATCACGTGAAATAAAAGTCTTGGCAAAAAGATGGGTTTATGGGCTGGGTGTGGGTTTTACTTCAAACCCATACCCAACCCATATGGGTTTTGGGTAAAATTTCTGACCCATACCCAGCCCATTGTGGGTTGGGTTGGGTTGGGTATGGGTTTACCCAACCCAATGAACATGTCTAGATAAATTGAAGGCCACTTTTATCTCGGAAGTATCGATGCCAGAAGTTTTTCAAGGAGTTCTACATTCAGCCAACACCGTTTTGAGTCACTATGATGAGGAGAATATAAACAAGGATGATCTCAAGATGATGCTAGACATGGCTATTACAGTTCTGCGCGTGCGATATAAAGATGTAGCTGGTTTTGAAACCGCTGCCTTATCAAAAGTTGCTGGATATGATCAGTTTGCAGATTATCTTGTCTTCGAAGAAAGTTTCATTAATTGGGACAAAACATTGGAAAGTATCGACGAAGCAGTTGGGTTTGACCTGACACAGAAACTGGCAAACGAGTACAAAGCCAGCATCATCAATTTTGCTCAAAATATTGAGAGTCGACTTGAGGCTGAAGAGTTCAAAACATCTGACATTATGCATCTCAACGTTGCGAGAGCTATGAGTACCACAATCACGCAGCTTAAAGAATTTGCGGATTCAGACTCGGACTCCTTCTCGCGATCAACTTGTTCATCTGATGATAACGTTGAATTCGGATACTCAGACTCAGACTGAAAAGACCTAGTTATAGATAGACAAGTTAGAGTTTCAGTTCGATATGAAGTTTTTGTCCTACATAATCCTCTCGCATTGTTATAGTCCATCAAAACTGCTACTTCATTCTTGTTTACCAAGCTCTATATCTGGTATTGGTTCAGAGATTCTGCAATGCGTGGTCTTTCGCAAGGAAAATCTGGCTATCTTAGACCATAATAATAGCGCAGACGAACGGAAGCAATCAACACATCCGGAGACCCTGTGGAGATGTTAAAAAAATACGCCGCTTTTCTGGCACCAAATACCGCTAATGGTATTAAAATGAATCTACATTAATATTACATATCTGTAATGTATAACAGCTATCCGACCCAAATGGAAGACCTACTTATTTCTCTATCAAAAATTTATTATAACTCATATTTATATCGGTCATGGCTTGACCCCCATGAGCCCAATCTGCTCTCTGAAAGGGGGTTTCAAGAATCTTTAGTACTAAGTTTTTATACGCAAAACTGGCTGTATTAAGCTAAGCTATATTAGGCTTATTTTATAAAGGCGGTAAGTAAAGCAATAAGCACTACGCGAAAAACTCCACAGGGTCCTACCGGAGTCCGTACCTAGGTAGGCGATGGAACGTACTTTGGATTTCGGACGGACTGCTCGATGATTACACTATTGCTAAGTGAAGGCATAAAACAAATGATAAATCTACCCTCTACTAAAATTTACTACTCATGCCTTTCCCCCCTCACTACCTACAATGGACAACAGCGGTAACGCCCCACTTCAAGTCCCTGGGTTTGGCAATATTCCATTATATTATGACCTCCCAGCTGAGGCACGCTTCGTGCACGGAATAGTGGATTGGATCCAAGCCCCGATTGTTACCGCCCGCGAGTTAGCAATGGTCGGCGTGATGGATCGGATAACCGATCATCCAACATGGTTTGTCGATATATTCAACCACCAAACCATCGCAAACTGGCGAAAAGAAGCCTTTGATACAACTCCCCTCATGAGTGAAATGGCATGGACCTGGTGTGTGAAGGAACTTCAAGATAAAGCGTTATTTTTCCGCGAGAATCAACATGTTCGAGTACTTGATACAGGATCATGCGTTTGTAAATCGGATACAACGACTTTAAGTGCTCTTAGCGGGCTCTTTCGACAATCTGTCCCTTCTGTGCTTATGCAGCAGCTAAATCAGGAGAGTCCCCAGTCAACAAATTTCGTCGATTCCCAGACAATCACAATCGTTGATCCATTTTTATTCCCCTTGGTGTACGGGAGAACTCTAGTCCTGGCAAATGGAGGGACTGTGGATTTAAAAAACATTATGGGCTCTTACAAAGATACTACAATTGCACCAAAGCATATCGACAGGCGAGTTCAGTCCCATAAGTTTCATGAATTTCTAGATGCCCACCCTCAACTTTCCACACAGAGGGGGTTCAAACCGTCAATTGTTGAAGAGCCATCCTGGAATTATCTTTGGAGTTCCAATTTTCAGTCTCTTCCATGCGAGGTGGGATTTATTGGGGATTCTGGAACAGACGTACGGATCACATCATACATCAATAACCTACATCCAAGTCACAAGGCCTTATACCATGCCATCGAAAAGCTTGTGTCTTTGGCAATTAAGCCGTTCAACAATTGTTTGATTCAAGGGCAGTCCGACCATTCCAAAAAAGGATATTTTGGTCAATTCGGACGCGTTCCACTCCGAATAATGACATTTGGTGTTGAATGGGAGAATGACCTTCTTGATTGGGCTGATGCTTTTGACTTGCCCTCAGAAGAGACGAAAAAGATGTACCACAAGGCCAAAAAGATAATACGCAAAAATAATGCCGAACCGTTACCCAGGAAGTATTGGTCGTTACTAAGGATCGCGGAATGGGATGTGCAAAGACTAGGCTTTGTTGCAGATAGAGAAAATGATGAGCCGCCTCCGGAAGACTCGGAACTATGGGACATGGCCAAGAAGTATCTTGAACTTCCGGAGGAATCAAATGATCCCATCAAGGTTCCAGATGACTGGGCAAAGGATGCAAAATCACTGTGGTATAGCCTCACCCAGAAAGTGGAGCGGGTGATTCGCTTTAAGCATCCTGAGCCAGGGGCCGCTTTTTCGTATGAGGACTGGAAGACCGGGCAGAATAACAAGCCAGTTATCGATGTCTGTCGCGCGAAAATGAATGATCTTGATAATCCATTTTACGGGATCTCTATTCCAAAACCCTATGATATCACTCTCGAGGAAACATTTCGAGAACAAGGTCTACAAATCATTGTTAAGATGGAGAATATTGAGCTCAGCCCTCAGAATTCTTCTTACCCTGGCAATGACTGGCAGCTTGATGGCCAGCTCAACGAGCATATTGTAGCTATTGCCACCTTTGCATATGATGTTGCGAATATTACTGAGCCTCGAATTGCATTTCGCCAGTATACTGATCTCGGAGGAAGATTCTATCACTATAATGAGGAGTCATGGGAAACTTCGAACTTCGACCTCAGAAACCTACCAGCCCGTCGACGTGGGAAGAAATTCCGAGAACGTGACGCACTGGCAGAAATCCTAGGGTTTACATGGGATGACCTCGACTATATCACTAACAGTGCGCCATTCCAGAATATTGGGTCTGTTGCGACACCGCAAGGGCGACTAGTCACATTTCCTCATGTCCTAGAGCACCAACTCGCACCTTTCCAACTAGCTGATCCGTCTCTTCCTGGGCATTATCGGTCAATCAAGCTATACTTAGTTGATCCGCACTATCGTATATGCTCTACCCGTAATGTGCCACCACAGCAGCATGACTGGTGGGCTGATGAAGTGGGAAAAGACCTTCCCTCAGTCGGTCTTCCCCAAGAATTAGTGAATGAAATTCTCCAGTATACAGATAGCTGGCCGATGGGGATGCAAGAAGCGACAGAGCACAGGCGAGAATTAATCAAGGAGCACCATTGGCGTGAGGTGGCTAAATTGATTAATCTAGGTGGTGTTGGTTTTTGATGACACTTCCATCTGTAAGTTAGAATGATTCATTTCTTTTGGAAGGGCTGGATGGGAAAAGAGTGGTCTAGCTGAAATCTCATCAAGATACTTCGATATTCACTCATACAGTCTCCTAGGTGCTTCCTAGCCTGAGATCTATACGAACAAGAGCAATGAGCATCTTTCTCAATTAACTATTAGTATCTAAGTCTTGGAACTAAATAGAATCTCATCCTCCAGTGATAACCAACCTTGGAAGCCCTAACTGCGGCTATCGTGCTTATGGGAAGATAAATACATATTTCCACCGAAATCTCTTCGATAACAACCTTGGGAAGCCCTGGAGGCTATTTGATTTGTGTTTGCAAATTCCGTCAGTAATGATATTTTAGAACGCATATTGAAAGAAAATTTATTCGCAAAGACCATAAGTTGTCGAGCTATCTTGATCCAACGTAGTGTCCCGAGGTCAGGGCCTATATACGGTTTTTTCCATGCCAGCTCTTGGCATTCCCCTTCCGTATTAGTGCTCACCCCTTCGCCGCTTTTGCTCCCTGAGTATAACTGAGCACGTGTCTGAGCATTACATAAGCTTCCTGATCTGCTCAATGTTGTCAAATAGGTGGTGGTTTAGGCTCGATTGGGCCTAGTTGGCCTGATTTGGCCTGGTTTGTAGGGTTTGCACTACCCACTTTGTATTATGTCAAGTATGGCTGAGTAAGGTGGATTCGAACAGATCAGGTGGGACTAATAGAAACAGAGTATTCAAGAAAGTTGTGTGTGTGTTTCAACTAATAGGAAATGGCGGTGTTGCCAACTATAGGATCTGACTAATAAGGCACTAGACTAGATTGGGAATCGGTCCCTTGACACACCCCTTCAGTTTTCACCCTTTCATGGTGAAAGCTGGCCCAAATTAGGGACGATTCAGGCTGTTGAAGCGCCTAGAACCCCCTACTCAACCATTCTAAATCCCTGATTTAAGGCGGTTGAATGCCAAATCTCTCAGTTCTAAGGGGGGTTATGCCCCTTAGAGCTCTATCATGTCTCCCACATCTTCCATATGCAGTAGTTTAAGCCATGCTTCAAACCTCTGACGTGGTAAGATCTTGGTGAAACCATCTGCTACCATCTGCGTGGTAGGCACCCATCTGATCCTAATTCGCCCTTCTTGGACTTCCTGGCGTAGCCAGCTGCGATGAATGTCCACATGGCGTAATTTAGTTTCAAATGAGCCTTCTTTAGTGAGCAGATCCACTGTCCTCTGGTTGTCGCAGTCCAGTGTGATCTTCTCATATTCCATCTCTAATCCAATATGGACCAGAATCCTTTTCCACCATATCAGAGTCTTAGCTGCATCAGACAGACCTAGGAGCTCTGCTTCAGTGGTGGACGTCGTCACAGTCTTCTGTTTAGACGCTTTCCAGTCGACCGGACCACCATAGAGCATACATATCATGCCAGCTGAGCTTTTACGGTCAGGGTGATCGCCAAATGACGCATCACTGGCCATGTTAAGGGCCATAGAGCCTGATTTCAAGCCAGAATCTGTGTAACAGGCTGGTGCCTGCTTTAGCATTCATGCCTGTGCCACTCATGCTCGTCACGTGCCACCCGCACCCGCATCCCTTATATTGCCACATGTCCATAGCTAGTCTCTCTCTCTTCTCTTCAAGCTTAATAAAGACAGTTTGTCGGCATCACTAGTTCTGCATTCAAGATTAGTATTAGCCCTTCGCAATCTGCGCCTGAATCTAGGCCGTCAAGGTCTATAGAGCTCTGATCTATAAGACTAGATCCATATCTAATTGCTAGATTTCTGGTATGAAACAGGTAAATCATGACTTGATCAGCTGCTGCATGGTGGTTTGGTCCTGGATTCAGGAGGAATTGGGCTAACTTGGTGGCTGGCTTGGCAATATCAGGCCTAGTAATGGTGGCAGCATATTGAATGGATCCCACTTTTTCCTGGTAAAACCGGATCGATTCAGGAGATGCAGTGCCCTCATATGGACTAAGCTCGTCAATTGGCATGGGTGTGACCACTGGTGGTCGACCAGATAACCTGAATCTGGCTGCGATACTTTCAATATAACTGTCCTGGCAGAGCCAGAGGCAGTGTAATTGACGATTCCTGATAATACGTATATTCAGGAACCATTCGGCATCCCCATGATCCGTCAGTTCCCAGGTGTTTTCAAGCTTACGCTCTAATTCTTGGGCATACTGAGAAGCAGTCTTATGGCTTGCAATCAGGAAGTCATCAACATAAAAGAATATTATGACTCCTTTGCCAATAAAGACGCATGGATCTTCGCAAAGCTGCTTTAAACCAAGTTCAGAAAGGACGCGTGACGCCTCTTTCTGCCAGAGCTTCGGTGAGATGCGCAAGCCATATAGAGCCTTATTCAGGTGCCATACCATTCCCTGTGTGCTCCTGAATCCGTCAGGAGTCTGCGTATAGATCTCCTTATCGTCTAAGGAGCTATTCAGGAACGCCGCTACCGCATCTCTTTGGCGTAGATCTAGGTCAAAGACAGCTACAATCGCAAAGATCATTCGAGCAGTTTTGAGAGCTAGTGTCGCCGACCGTTTCTCTTCTTGGGAGACCCTTTCTAGGTCTCCGCGGACACAGATTCGAGCTTTACATTTCTGCAGAACCCCATTTTCGTCGAATTTATAGGTATAAACCCACTTCAATGGTAAGACCTGCTTCGCGCGATCATTCGGACGAGATACTACTGAAAAGGTGCATTTTTCAGTAAGACCGTCAATCTCCTTCTGCATCGCGATGTTAAAGCCATCTTCGAATTCGTGTCCTTTAACCTCCCTAAAGCTCTTTGGCGGAGCAGGGAGATCATCTTTATGCCTATTTTTGGCATTCTGACTGTTCTGCACCATCCTGGTATAGAACGCCTGATCATAGACTGGTAGGTCTATATCTGGCTCGTCTGGTTGGAGCATAGCTTGTGTAAAGTATGCATCATCTCTCTTGGTTGAACGCCGTGTACGTTTACCAGGTATGATATTAGACTCGTCTAGATCTAATCCAACCTCTCGATATGGCGCTATTTCCCATTCGATTTGGGAATCAATGGCTGCCTGCATCTCTGCATCGTCGTCCTGAACGTCATTTAGGACGACATCTGGATCAGCTTGGCCAGGAATTAGGCTACCGCCCTGATCTGTATAAAGTGGCAAATCCACCTCCTGGTCCTGTGCTAGGACCTCCTCCACCCCTTGATTTGGCACTGATTCTGGTGAATTTGGCATCTGGGTGGGTAATTCTGGCTCGATTTGACCAGTTTGATCAGGATCTAGAGCCTCTGGAGCCTCTGGCGGCTCCTCTGGGAACGCCCCTGGCACCCAATCAGGTGCATTTGGGGTGGGATATCGTGTTTCCCGGGTCGTCTCTTCCCCTGTATTTGGCTCTAGTTGACTAGCTTTCTGCTGGAAACTAGCGGTGCTGCTGCTAGTTTCTGCATCGACGTCACCTAGGCTCTCCTGGGCATATATCTGCTCAGTTGGATCAGTTGGATCTAACTGAGGACCATCTTCACGTGGTGTCGGTGTCGGCTGGACACCTATTTCATCCTGCACCACCTTAGTGGCTTCTTCGTCTGTCAGGATTTCGCCTTTGCAGGAGGTTCGGCCGAGCATCGAGGTAAGTTGGTGTTCTAGCGAGTGAATAGCCCACCACAGTCGACATCTTGCCTCCTTTGATGCATCTTGAACTCTCGTATCAGTCAGACGATGATTGATACCTAGCAATATTGCAGAGTGTAGAGCCATGCAAGAAAATTTAGACGCCCTGATTATATGTGATGAGTAATAGATGTTCCGCTAGATAAGGCCTGGCGTACCTTTCGACTTGGCCTAGGCAAAGTAAATATATGGCAACTGAGAACTCTAGCTGAATTTGCCGCAGATCAGTGTTTCAAAAAGAACACTGTCCTGTATGCTCAACATCCGAGCTCTAGTAAAAAATACCCGGTCGTTATTGTGAACTTTATGAATAGTAGGGTTTGCCAACCGGCAGTAGTGACAACCAATGGCAAATATGAGATTAAGAATAGGCAGCCATTTCCGGTGTGGTTGTCGTGGTGTACCGAAGTAAAAGTTCTCGTATTGCGCGGTGAATGCTGAGTACCTTATTGCTTGGTATGTCGGATGAACAAATTCCATGTACGCATTGAAATACTCGTTAGCAATATTCCGTGGTGGGATTTCGAAAGGGTCAGTATTTTCGACAAGCAGGATATCTAAATTATCTATGTGATAGTCCATCATGGCAATAGAAGCTCCTCGACGCGAATTCTGGTAGGATTTCCGAGCATGAAAACCGAATTGCCCAAATTGGACACTCCAGTGCGTATTCTTGTCGAGACCATTGGTTGGTTCGCGATTGCTAGTTGCGATGTGATCTTCTAGATATTGCATCGAAGTAATTTCAGGACTCTCATCAAAGTGTCCGGTGTCGCGAGTGACTTTCTTTTGTTTCAAACCCTCGACAATATCGACAGCCGCTAAGGAGCCAACAGATAATGCCGAGTCAGAATCGCTGCTATCTTCTGCGAACTTCTTCTTGGTTGACTATCAGGTAAAGCCTCATTAATAGAAGTCAAATACGCTTTTCCAAGCCAAAGACTCATCCTTTTTAGGATGATCGATACATACTTTAAACAGTTTTTTGATCCGCCGCGCTATTGAGGCGTCGACCTTCCCCTCGATACCACGAAGTAGGGCTTCGTAGCATTCTGCATATTTTGACAGGAGGGCGAGATGCTTCTCGATACGAATGCGCTTGATATCTTTGTACACGCAGTCTTTGCCACAGTAAGCACATTGCCCACAGGTCGGTCTGTCACCGCTGCACTTGATCTTGCGCCGCCGACATGATTCACAAGCTCGGCCTAAGCGCCGTTGCCATTGTGAGGCCCTTGGTGTCGGTCCCCGGGGAATAGCGACTTTAGTACGAGGCGGTATTGAATCCAAGTTCTCCATGGGATTGGTACTAAGACTATGAAGTAGGCTGTATATTGTTCGGCCGCGAGTTTGAGTGAAAGTCGGATTTTAGAATATAAGGCAAACAGAGATTAACACAGATATTCAGGATGTCAAGGCCAAATAAATCGAAAGGGGGCTTTAGGTTTCATTAACGGTCTATGTTCACGTGTTTTCAAGCAGCTAGTCGTAGTATCTATCATGAAGGGCGAGTGCAAGGTGCTCAGTGCGAGGACTCGTTATTATGAAAAAAGTTCACCTTAAGCAGAGAGAGCTAGGTTCTACAGAAAGAACAGTTTTAACAATTTAACAACGGTGTCAATCTAGAAAAGAGGGGGTGTTGTTTGGACTGTTTGCAGGGTTTACAAAAATTTTCGATCAAAGGCACAGCAGCGAGATCTAGAGGTATTTGGAAACGATCAACTAAATATATATAAGTATTTTTCGTCATATTTCCAAAAGGAGAAAAAGACTGAAGAAGAAAATTTAAAGCCTCTCACCAGAGTCTGCTAGAGTATCTCGTGCTAGAGGGGTGTCATCAATCTGATTGATTGGAACCACTAAAAGCAGCTCTTTAGCATAGGCTGCCGCCGCTGCCGCCGCACACCCTTGCCATTGCTTATTCTTATGTGAGTCAGCATAGTCACATATGCCTCGAATGACCACACATGGAAAGTCATTCATAAGCCCTGCCGCTTCCATTTCTACATAGTATACACCTAAGTCCTGAGCCAGTTGATCTCGCCGTCTACCATCTTTCACCACCTGATTCGCAGATGTAATAAGTCCATAATGAATAACTGGCTCATCATGGCCTCTCGAGGGTCGAGGTATCAGTCCTGATTGGTCACAATTCGCACACGTATCATATGAATCATGATTATATTCCGCTTGGTATAAACAATCCTCTTAAATAGGCCGAGTGAAATTCGCGGCTTTACGCTGTGGTGTCTTAACATCGATGTTTGAAATAAATTCATGAACCCGGCTATCTTCTATAAGATGGTGGGCTTGTAGCGTGGCAAGAGCAGTCAGTAGAACCTTCGGAGGCCGGTTCAGCATTCCGGTCCGCTGAAATCCACCGTTGTGCAACATTGTCCCAAGATCGTATTGGATCACGCCTCCAGATGTGTCCCTTGGCTGGCTCACCACAATATCGCCGAGTCGAATATCTGCAGTGCTGCTTGGTACACCACCACCAATACCGACCATTAGACCGAAGCGGATAGAATGGAAGCTCGAAAGCAACTGCATCGCCACTGTTGCAGCTGATATAGTGCCATATGCGCCACCTGGTAGGCAGGCAATGACGATGTTGTGTTCCCCGATATTGCCAAGCATGTAGTTGTTCTGGTCGGTTGGTAGACTCGGCAGGCTTGGATGGATTACGTCCAACATCAGCTTCGCAGCGGCCATTTCCAGCGGCAGGGCGCATACCCATCCGACCGTGTAATCGTCATAAGATAGGGTGGTCCTAGCAGCCATGCTGGGTCATAATAATGATAAGTTCACGTGATACTGAAAGGCTGGTTTCGCATATGAGGGTTATCTATGTCTGTATTTGCGTCACCACGAAAACTTCGTCTTGGAATGAATCCGAAAGGTTGGGAGTAGCGGGGTTAGAAAGTGAGGCTAAGGAAGCATCATGATCTCACAGCCAATCACTTTCTCATAGTAGATAGAGATAGGCACGTTTTACATATCTCTAGCGATCAATAAGATCCGCAACGATGGACTGAGTATCGCACAGCAATCTGGTCTGTAGTCATGAAACCAAAGAAAAAAAGAGGGACTGTTGACAGATTGCCCGTTCAACTACTATGTTTGCCGTGTTTGCATGGAATCTGAAGTTCAGGGTAAAAAACTGTATATTTCATACCTGTATTTTAAAACTATGGTTTAAATTACGTGTTCAGCTACAAAACGGTATAATTACATGCTATCCATATCTGGATTAGCTGATCACATGACTAGGGTTTGAAACAGGTTCTTAATGTATTCGACATGGAAGGCAAAAGCGGTCGCTACTGTACTCGTTTAGGGAAGTACTGTATAGATCGGCGAAAGCGGTCACTACTGTATCAAAAGAAGCGGTCACTACTGTACAGTAAGATAGTCAATCGTCCCGTCCGATCAGGTGGTATCAAATCGCCAAGATAGTCGACTACTGTACAACTTGGAAAGCGGTCACTACTGTAAAAGTAGGCCGAAGAGAGACGGACGATTACTGTACTCAAAGACAGATGACCGACTCGATTTTGAGGAGCCCAATATGAGCAGCAAAAACCCGCTGCCTACTCGCCGCCACCCCTCCTCTACCTCTAAACACGCAAACCCCACCGCTCCACCCAAATCACCTACCTCACACCATCCCCACCGAGAAAAACACTTCATCGCGATCCCCTTCTATACCATCGAAGCACGAGCTCGGTCATTCCAAGGACAAGTACTCAAAGGCATTACACCGCTTCAATTGGCCCAAAACGGTTTCTACTATGAACCAATTGCACCTTTCAACGACATGGCCTGCTGCTTTGCTTGTGAAGCATTCGTACGACTGGGAAGCCTCCAGCGCGAACCTCTCCAAGGAAGACAACGACTACATGTTGACGACTGCGTATGGCAAGTTATCTACGGCGAGCTGAAACAAACTCTCGAACCTACCAATATTCTCCATCCTTCGATCAAAACATCTCCGCCTAGAAAACCAACGTCCTGCCACCATCCATCTGTAGGACAAGAACCACCCAAAAAGACAACCACCGACGCCAGCACACAGACGCTAGTCCAATCAACACCAACAGTACCCAATATAATACAAAAATCCCTCAAGATCGACCTCGAACCCCACTCTCAACCGCCACCAACCACAACCAACCTCGAAAGGCAGCAGACCCCGCCAATCGACAGTCCCCAGCTTCCTCAACCGACACCTCCCTTCGCCTCATCACCCAAAACCCAACACATAACCTATGCTTCCGTCCTCCAACGACCTGTCATATCCACAACAGAACTTTATCCTCCAACCCAAGAATCTTCCCTTCCTGTCAAACCCATACTCACAATTGAAGATCTTCACCGCCGTTTTCACAACAAACCGTCACCATTCCAGCTCGAGAATAAGCTAAGCCAACGCTCAGCTAAACGAACTCGGAACAAAACCGCATCCGCAACACAGTCACTCTCCAGATTTTTAGCTTCTGCTTTGCCCGCGTTCTCGCGGTTCCTAACAGAGATGCAGTCAAAATCGGATACTTGCTATCCGTCCCATCCGCAATTACACTATAGCCGCGCCATGAGGGCAGCCTAACAATGGGAGCGGCAAATGGCCACGATAGGCCGTGGCGAGGCTCAAAGTTCGTTTCAAGTAGTGGACCACTCTAAATGTACATACCCGGATCTATAGTTGTTGTATACTGCATATCGCGTTGGCGAGGGGTCAGTGTAAATGAATACTACTACTACTACTACTACTACTGTACTCGTTAGATTTTGAGGATTGAACTTGCGTCCATAGATGGCCTGTTTCCAAGTCAGGATTAATATTAAGAATCCACAGGATATGAATAATGAACTGACCCAGTTCACAAAGTAAGCCACTGAACGATATCCAGTGCTTTTATCACGAGCATCGAGCTCAGTAGAGTTAAGTGAAGAAACAGGCATGGCATTTGCAACCAATACAAAGCTGAAGACGAAATAGCTTAGCAAACGCATTTTGGGTTAAGATTTTACTCAGTGGTTTTAAGAAATCTGTTCAATCTGAATATAGAAATTTCAAGAGGTTCATCGTCATTTTGAAGACGTGTTACTTCGGCTTGGGGAATATCACACTGTAGCTGATATGAAATCACCTTCCACCCTGAGCATGGCATTTCTTTTTTACGGACCCACTGCCAAGACATAAGTGCGTAGCGGTGGTTGGCGAATGAAATTCGGGTTGCCCATAGCTTGTAAAGTGGAGATTTTGAGACTCCACCGCGCCGTTTTGGGTCCTTTTCATGGCTGTTAAGAGGAGATCTTGGAACTCTACCGCGCCGTTTTGGGTCCTTGCCATGGCCGTAAAGAGGAGTTTTTGGACTCCACCACGCCGTTTCAGGAACAACTTGGACATGGATTAGTCATACTACGGAGGTAGCCCTAGAGGCAGCTCTGTAGGCTTATAAACTCCCGGGTTAGTATATAAATAGGTATATCTAGGTTTATGACCGTCTAGAATCACCGAACCTTGGAATCACTGAACTACTCTTCTTATTCATTCTTCAATCTAGCATTTCAAATATGCCCCCGAATAAATCCTCAAAAGGCAAAAATTTAGGGAGAGGTGGACGGCTGCTAACACCTGAGCCCAGCGTTGAGCCTGATGCCATTGAAACCAAGTCGCCTATATATCCGACTTTACCTTCAATCAATGAAGATAATGGAAATTCTTCTCTTGAGGATGATGATACATCAATGGACGAAGCAACTGAAGAAAACGATGCCAGGCCTGCCGAGAGTGAACCAGATCCTCTCCCACAGCGGCTGATCACGATCATTCAAGAAGTATGCGTGAATTCGAGTCAGGTCTTTCAGGAAAAGTTTCTTCAGGATACACCAGATTATAACCACTGTCAGGATTTTTTTGATAACCTTAACAAAAGAATTGAAGAATCTAATCAGGAGAATGACGCCGATCTTACCGAAGGAACTATAGACACAAAAACTTTTCTTGTTAATATACGCACCTTTCGGGAGCACGCAGGCAGTTGCTATGATAAGAAAGATATCAAAGGCTGCTGGGCCGCATTCGATTCATGCTTTAGCATACTAGATGGGTTCAACAAGAGATATCATTTACCTGAGTCCTGGAACTTGACTGAGGGCTAGGCGGAGATATATTAGGGTCCTCGTCCTAGGACAAGTTCTAGCTCAATAAGAAAGAGAGCAGCGCCTTCAGAAGAAGACAAAACTCCTGGCCAGAACGATATTTCACCACTGGAATTGCTCGAATCCCGGGCAGCAGGGCAGTACAGTCGTCATAAAGGGGGAGAGGTCTTATATTGGTGGCCCAAGGGTACGGGATCACAAACTTTTGTCCGTTACGGAGACGACCCAGACACTTCAATCTTTCGTATTCGAGCTGGGTCTTACCAGCGCTACGATCCCTCAAAAGTTCCGCAGGTCTTGACCTCAGAATGCCGGGGCACAGCCAAGGTAGTGGATAAGACAAAAGCCCCGGCTCGAGAACTATGGAAGTATAATCGGGAGGATGTGATTAACATTCTTGGGGTTGCTTAGAAGATGAATGATGATGATGAGAGTGATATCGATCCTCTCTCACTTCTTCGACCTGGACGGGGTGTAATCTACCCACAAACCAAAGTTCTGGTTCTTTGGAAAGATGGCACGAAGACCCTTAAGGGAAGAGCCTTCGTTCGTCGTATTCTCCAAAAAGGCGACTACGCAATTTATCAAAAGGCCGAGGAAATGGAGAATGATTACCGGGAGCTAAATGGTGACTTTAATGAACAAGTGGTCAGTGAAGGAGATGAGAACAGTGAGAGTAGCAATACTAGCAACAACGAGAACAGTGGTAGCAATGACAGCGACGCTGATAGCGGTGCTGATAGCGACACTGAGGAGAAGAGAGACTATTATAGAAAGAAGAAACACAATTCATCGGATGAGCGGCCTCGACGCCATGGTTACAAGAAGGAAAAGCCCAAGAAGACATACAGCGAGCCACCTCCAAGCCATCATCGTACGAGGGAAAGATCCCAGAGAACGTATAGCGAGCCCCTTCCGAGCCGTCGTTCGAGCCAGGAAACCAAGGATCAGATTCTCATGCTTAAGCAACAACTCAAAAAGCTCAAGAATAAGGGGAAAGCTCCAAGACAAAAGAAAAGGCAGGCAGCAGGCCATGGTGATAGACACTAGAAGATATGATGGCCTGAAAATCAACACCATGGACACTTTCTAGGCTCATATACTGAGTATGATGCTCTACTGTTCTGCTTATGATGATCCTTTATGTTTGATATTTCTGAGATTTCACATATAAGCTGGCCTTATATATGTTTAAGTTTAGCTACTCTGCTCGAATTATCTCTTTACCACACCGTACCATAGAACACCGTTGCTATTTGAACTCCTTATATTATACGCAACTCTTCGATCAGAGTCAGATACGGCGAGTACAGTAGTTTAGAAATCATTTTAGATTCTAAATTTTCTTAGTTCATCTAATATTAGTTCATCTCACATACAGATGGATCGAAATCAGTTTCACCACTTTATATCGAACAGACTGTGGGCTTAAATTTGCGGCCTGAGGGGTTGCAAATAAACCATGAGTCTCAAGGCGCAAGCCGATTTTTATTATACTATATTCATCATATACAGTGGAAATTGTACATAAACTCCATGTAATAAAATTAAGGCAAAATGGATAATTTTGAGATCAGCGCCAAAGAAATGTTATTATATGTAATTGGCAGACTAAATACAGACCAGTCTCGTTACAGGCGATGGCCGCGAGAATCATATTCATAATTCTCCTACAGCGCGCTGTAATGTTTGTGATATATTTTGAAGTCCCTCTTTGAGCGGTGCAAGTTTGTCGTCAACCTTTTCATCGATTTCGTCAGAAACATTGATATCATAGACATCATATTTTTCTTCAATCTCATCTTGACGCCCCTCGATATCAGCTTAACGATCCTCGATGACAGCTTGGAGTTCCTCAAGGTCATCAAGACGCTTCTTGAGGTCGGCTAACTGGGAGTCTTGCTTGTCTTGCTTGTCTTGCTTTCTTATTGTGACAATCAATAAACGCTCAATTTGTTGTAATTTCGAAGAAAACTTGCTAGATGCAGAGAAAGGCCTGAGACTAGAAGGTTTATTGAAGTCGTCGTCAAATTCATTATGTCGTCTTCTTTTCCCTTAATAGAGGCGCAGATAATCGTCAGTAAATTAATTAAAGGTAAAGAAAATGCGACATCTGTAAAATGTATACACATACTTTTCGCGCCGGCTGCCTGATCCGAATCTTGTAGCGTACATGATTGGTAAGGCGGTGGACTAGCCGCGGATATCCCATCGCCGGAAGCTGATGCTTCCATATATGGTGGTGGAGTGTCTGTAGCAATCGTAGATTCCCCTGACTCAGAAGCCATGTCACCGATCTCTGGTATACTAGAGATGTGGGTGGTATATTTGTGACCCCCTTGACCACTATATAGAGTAGGAAGCCTGACATCGTCTTCCATTTTTTCTTTGTCCTGTTCATAGGGTGTGGAAGTAAGGACTTTCTGTAGCAGTCGTGTGTTTGATGAAGATAAGTGGCGGCATGACGCGATCACGCTAATTTTCTGTTGCTTGGCTAATAATGCCATAAAATCCATCTCGGTTTGAGAACGACGCTTGAAGGAGGGAGAGAATGAGATGAACTCTTTTGGTGTGATCAAATCACCAGGATTTTCGAGTTGTAACTCAATCAGCACAAGAGGGTGGCGTAGCTTCAATATCTTTTTTTGAGTCGATTACGGCGACGACAATGGGATCTTGATAGGATGGGGTAAGTGACATAATGTTTCGCCGAGAAAATTTTTGATAAACTGTTGTTTCTCGTTTTGTGTTATACTTCTTATAATGGACAATTATACTAAATCTCCATCTAACAAAATTAGGGGGACGAATGGAGATTTTTAATTTCAGCTCCAGAAAATGTCTTTTTTGGCGATCGTCAAAGAAAACGATAACGCTCTGTGCCCGAATCTGGCAATTATCAAAATAATCTTTTTCTTTCCTGACTCGACTTGTATCTTCTTCGGGCGGTGGCATGATCGACGTACTTGGTTGTTTTGAGGTTACTCTTACCATAGGATGGAAAGATAATCGGTCCAGCACCTATCTAGTATTCAGTCAGCTAGGTTTGCCGAGTTGACTCTCCCTCGCTTTTTCTCTGAGAGTTTGCTAGGGAGCCAACGAAAGACGCAATCCAGGCTCGCTACCGGTAGCCGGTAAGGGCTCCTTGCCCAAGATCCCAGGTTCTGATGGTGAGAGTGTTTGCCTGTTAGCACACACTTTCACTACACAGAAGTTGGTCAATAGATGATCAAGGGTGCGAGTGGCTAGTCAGTTGAAGCCATGAGCAGCGAGGCAAAATGAAGGGCGATCTTGGCAATATTGAAAGGTAGCAGCGACGTGGCTGGCCAGAGAGTTCCAGAGAGTCCCAGAAAGGGGGAAAGCAATGGGAATAAATGCAAACATTATAAACAAGGATGATCCTTGAATTATACGGGAAGACTCAGGTGAGTTCCCGGTACCCGATGGGGTATCTTCCCAACAGTGGCGCCTAATTTCTGAGGTGGTACTTTGGACTGGTAGATTATTATACGAGATGAGGCTGACAGCTGAAACTTATTTCAACCCTCGCTGCAAATCAGAATCCCGTTCCAAAAGCGGTCTGGGAGTGGAGTAGTATCACCTTTCTATATTAGGTTAGCGCACTTCTGTTTATAGGAGTAATGTCACCTCTAGCCCACTGAGTTGGTCATCCTTGGGCCCACTTGGGATCTATCATCACAGCTCCCGGAGGACTTGTAGTTAATTGGAAGTAGTTAATTGGAATAAAGAGCGTGGTCTTATCTTTAGACTAATCGTTGCTCCCGGTCTCTTTTGATAGAAACAAGACATGCGAGAAAGTGGCTTAACTTGGAAAATACCTTAGTAGAGAACAACGATGGACGGACGAATGAGTAGTCATCAACTCGGAAAGTCTATTTTAGTAACAGGAGACATTGATAATCAGTGATGGACTTGTGTTTACGACCTTAGAAACTACGTTCACCGCTTACGGCGGCTACTATAAAGCACCTGACATTGGCGCCTGACATTTTTGTTTACTCAACCCCTTCGAGTTGAAGATTAATCAACATGCCATTGGTTGACCTAGCTCAGCCATACCTTAACGATTCGATAAGGGAAGTTGATAAAGGCTCCTGGCTAGTCTCAAACAAACTCCTTCTTACTCATTCGTCGTCGCCACCCCCGGACAAGATACCAACCGACGAAGCATGCTGGAGCGATAGCAATGGGGGACATTTTGCCCTCTCCACTGCACCTGAGCCTCTTCCAAATTCCAAAGCCCTCACAGAAGGCTCCTCTTATATCTCAAGAGTCCACGCAGTCGACAATCAATCAGCCGTTTGGCGGGCAGGCGAAGCCTTCATCAAAGCGCATCACATGGACTATTCCCATGTTACCAGAGAGCATGCTACCCTACAGTTTCTCAAAGACCGACAGCCCCACGGTTTTGAATTCCCGGACGTATACCATCAATTTGAGACTGAGTCGCGATATTTCCTCGTTGTCTCGAGAATTTCCGGCCAGCTCCTTGAGGAGGCTTGGCCTAACATGGACGAGACTCTTCGCCAGTATTACATCGGCAAGGTAGCAAATATTTGCAAACAGTTAACGGCATGGAAGGGCGACATCATTAGTGGTGTGGACGGAAATCAACTGTTAGAGCGTTACCTGGTTAAAGGCAATAGCAAGATGGCGGATGCCCTTTCTCCACAGCAGCTTCTGAAGAATTGTACCGAGATGTCTATGGATGTCTCCCAACTTGTCTTCTATCATTGTGATCTCGGACCTACGAATCTTCTTGTCAATACCTCGACAGGCTCGCTTGGAATCATCGATTGGGAGCTTGCTGGCTACGTTCCTATTGAATGGATTAGAACAAAATTTCGACTATCGACCGGTATGGATTTCAACTATGAGGATGAGGACTTCAAAAAGGACTGGCGCCGTAGGGTTGCCCAGCATCTGGAAAAGATGGGCTACCGCGATGTCGTAGATGCATGGTGGAAGTTTCAGGACAGCTAGTAGATAACATTGTTAACTTTAGGCTCCCTTTCTCTTCATATTACGCTTTTCTGAATAACTGGCAGTGCTCTTGCATTCATCTGCGTCTCCCCAACAAGATATTAATCCAGACAAAAAGGGGATATGCAGCCTTATGAGGTGATCTGGAATGTGAAATACTTTCCATTTGTATTTATGAGATATATAACACTAATCATTGTACACACGCTTACAGCAGAAAGTCCTCGAATTCAAGACCTCAATATTCCGTGTGAGAAGTAGCAAATATCTTATCAAGGAAAAAGCAACAGGCAAGGGCAGTCCTATAACGTCAGTCAGTCCTTAAATGACTACCAAGAAAGGGGAGATCTTGAAGACTCTTAGGACACAGGTCCCAGTGTTTCAAGAAAACTTACATTTGCCATTTTACGCAGTCGTTGCGACGGGCTTGCCACAGTTGGTGCAGATCGATACACCAGTTATATTATGCGTACCACAGTGGCCACAATTGAGCTGGTTGATCAGTTCGTTCGGGATGGAGGTTGCCATTTTAAAAACAGGGGATCTACTTATCATTAGCTATGGATGCGTGGAGGATAAAGGAGCCTCTCACTTAAAAAGTACCCATGTAGAAAGAAAATATCCAAGATATGACTTGGAAGGCAGCAATGTAGTGGATCGGTCACTAAGGCAGTGGTTTAGTGAAAGGTCCATTGGGATAAGCAGGATTCCTAAGCAAATACACTCTCCTCTATATTCTCTGGGTGTTGTACCAAAAAAGCACTTTTGATCTTGACTTGGCCAGTAACGTTGAGCCGAGCGGGGAACCCTGTCAAGGAGACGCAAATACCACGACCAAAGGCGCTTCCACTATCCGGAGCTGCTGATCATTGGCTGCAGTGACGAAGGGCAAGTGAGATACCCTAGGTCACCCTGCGATAGCCAATCGATAAGATAAAAGTTGTAAGGCCACCATTCAAGATATCGCCTCGCGCTCATGCAGGGGTGAATAGATTATTACCCGATTCTGAATAGGTTTTCTGCGCAGAAAATTCAGAATCGGGTCAAGTTCGTGCATGTGATGGGATACATGTGGGAGGGGAATAGTGGACGGCCGCTAGACCCACATACCTGGACAGCTGTTAATTTACTGCCAGCGGAGATACCTATCATACATCAGTACCACCTCTTGACCTCGTTCGACTATTTACTTTCAACTCCAGCAACTACCATGGGCATCGTGGAAAGCAGACTATTGGCAGAACGCGTTCTTTTTGCTCGCGATAAAGCTGCAGAAGAGGGAAATAGCCGAATTGATATATCTCAATTCTGGAAAGACAATGTGAGCTTCCTTCATATTGATATTGATCCTCTATCCCTTCTCCGGCCTGTACGGGGTGTAGTCTATCCACAAACCAGAGCTCTGGTTCTTTGGAAAGATAAGACTACAACCCTTGAGGGAAGAGCCTTCATTCGTCGTATTCTTCAAAAAGGCGACTACGCAATCTATCAAAAGGCCGAGGAAATGGAAAGAGAATATCGGAAATTATATGGTGACTTTAGCGAACAGGTGGTTAGTGAAGGAGATAAAAGTAGTGAGAGTGACAATACCAGCGATAGCGAGAATGATGACAGCGACCCCAATAGCGACACTGATAGCGATAATGGGGAGAAAAGAGACTATTATAGAAAGAAGAAACACACTTCATCGAATGAGCGGCCTCGACGCCATGGTAACAAGAAGGAAAAGCCCAAGAAGACATACAGCGAGCCACCTCGAAGCCATCATGGTAAGAGGGAAAGATCCCAGAGAATGTATAGCGAGCCCCTTCCGAGCCGTCGTCAGAGCCAGGAAACCAAGGATCAGATTCTCATGCTTGAGCAACAACTTAAAAAGCTCAAGAATAAGGGGAAAGCTCCGAGATAAAAGAAAAGACAGGCAGCAGGCCAGCGTGATAGATACGAGAAGATATAGTGGATTGAAAACCAACACGATTGATACTTTCTAGGCCCATATACTGAGTATGATGCTCTACTGTTTTGCTTATTTTGATTCTTCATTTTGATATTTGTGATATTTCACACATAAGCCGGCCTTATATATGTCTAAGTATAGCTGCTCTACTCAAATTATCTCTTTATAGTAGTGATCGCTTTCGCCTTTCAGGTAGAATACATAGAGAAGCTGTTGCAGACCCTTATCATGTGATCCGCTAAACCTGTCAAAGGCCCGATTCTGTATTTGGCTTAGAGCATTTGAGTTAGATTATTAAACCTCTTTTCCTTATTATCCCAATAAGAGGCATGCTCAGTATTACACACATATGTAATCGCTTACTAGATTCTATTCTGATTCGCCCGTCTATATTACTGATTCAGCCCATAGTTGACAAAACCAGATAACTATGGATAGCATGTAATCATGGCCGTTTTGTAGCTGATCAGGAAATTTATACGATAGTCCTTGATATACTCTCGTTTACCCCCGAACTTTTAGACTAGAAGATTCCATGTAAACCCTGTGAACATAGCAGTCAATGAATGGGCAATCTGTCAACAGCCCCTATTTGTTTTTCGATTTCATTACTGCAGACTACCTCGGTAGGAGCCAGTAGTTGCAGGTCTGGGAAGCACCTAGAGAGGGGTGGGGGGCCTAAGCTTCGCCATGGCTGGCGGTGGTAGGCTTCACCACCAATAATATCAAGTACTTCATGCAGCTCAAGATTCTCGCATGCCCAATAGCTGGCCAAGTTGCTTCATTCGCTGACGCTGTGAGGCGGCTAGGCGGTGCACCTTATTCGCTCCTAATGACTTACTTTGGGCTGATTGCAACGTATTCCCGCGCTCTTTCCTCGTTTCCCCTCGCACATTACCCCTTCCTCTGGCTCTGTTGATAGCAGAGTTTACAGACGATCAATACTTTCGAAGCTAAGCGATATCATTTTATCTCTGCCTATTCACCTTGTCATTCACGGTACTAGCAGCGACAGCCTATGCCAGGCAGTCGTTTCTCAAATTAACATCGAAGGAACGGAGCCGGTCTTCATGGACAGAATGGCGTTCACAACATCGTTTGGTTCCTTAAATTCGGGGTCACAGATTGCTGTAAACTACGGCTCTGTCACCAATCACTTCCATCTGTTCGCTGAAGAAAGAAAGGAACTACAGAAGCAGGAGCGCGCGTCATGTCTTGCAGATCTGTTCATTGCGGAGCCCGAAGAGGATCTCAATATGCGGAGGCGGACTAAATGGCCTCGTACCTCGGGGACCTTCAACTGGTTCTTGGAATTGTATGAGCTCAAATCTTGGTTTCGACAAGCCAAGGCCATAAGCGATATAGATCAAAACATCTTATGGCTGCACGGTAATCCAGGAATTGGCAAATCCACGATGGCTATGATGCTTGCTGAAGAATTACCAAAGAAGGATTATTTTTCGAAAAGCGATAGCATTCTTTCATTCTTTTTCTGCGCTTCCGACTCTGAAGATCACAGAACGGCAACCTCTATACTACGAGGCTTTTTGTACCAAATTATCAAAAAAAACTCACATTTTATGGATCAGATGATGCCAAGATATAAAGATCAGGGAAAGCATCTTTTCACGTCGTTTGACGGACTTTGGGCGGTCCTTATGGATATAGGCCGAGCGTCCAGCAGTACCGAAATATATTGCATCGTCGACGCTCTCGACGAATGCGATACCGAATCACAAGATACATTCTTACGGCAAATTTACCAATCGTTCAAACAAGGGAACGAGACCAGTCCGGTCCCATGCAGCGTGCATTTTTTAATCATAAGTCGTCCGTACCCCGAGATCCAGAATTTTCTATCCATCTTTCAATGTGTCGATCTCGGCTCGTGCAAGGATATAGTCTATGACCTCAGAGCCGTGATCCAAGACAGAGTAGAGGATCTTGCAAGGCGGAAAAAATATACCGCATCTATCAAACAAAAAGTATCACAGATGCTCGAAGAGAAGGCAGATGGAACATTCCTATGGGTCGGCATTGTCTGTCGGCAATTGGATGATGTACCATCAAGGAAAGCGGTTGAGACGCTGCGAGCTCAACCTCAAGGACTGTATCGCTTATATCGAGCCCTGCTGAGTGCAGCGTTCGAAGACGATGATCCGCAATATGACTCAAAGTTAAAGATGTTGTTTATGTATGTCACATTTGCGCTTCGGCGCCTGACAGTGGCTGAAATAGCCGAGGCATGTCGACTATACTTAGACGAGGATATCGAAACTCGCATCCAGTTCACCCAAGAGATCATTGACTCTTCTCACTCGCTGATGTTTACCGATAAATCCTACGTGCGACTGTTACATGGGTCTGTAAAGGACTTTTTAATAACAGAGATGGATGATTTCACAGCTGTCAGATCTAATTCTGTCCTGTCACATCGTTGCATTGAGCTCATTTCTCAATACTGTCGGCCCGATCTGGACAGGTCAGTGCTAGAATCAACTTTTGGATTTCTGGGTTATTCAGTACTGCATTGGCCGGAGCATGCAAGCTTAGCCAATGGAGAATTGACTATTCAGAAAGAGCATGAAAGCTTCTTCCAAAACACTCTCGAGACATGGAAATGCTGGCTAGATAATTATAATTATGCGCAAAGAAGACGGCGTGGCTCATGGGATGTTCTAGGACTAGACACATCCGTAATTCACGTCGCAGCCCGATGGGGAATCATTCCGCTCATCTTAACCGCCCAACAAAAGGCATTAGAAGACAAAGACGACGACGGTTATTCACCGCTACTTCTCGCGACTGAACACACTCAAATTGAAGCCTTGCGTGTCTTGGTCAAGTCTAATGTGCGTTTCGACTCTCTGAACAACAAGCATCAAAATGTACTTCACGTTGCATGCAATAATTTTCGTTTCAATGATTGTACGCTGATAAGGTCCTTTCTCGACAACGGTGCCTCTCCGTATTACTGCGATGAGGAGAATATGACACCCTTCCTTTATGCACTTGGCAACCGACGAAAAAAAATTGTTCAAACTTTCATCCACAATGGCTTCAATATAGAATCTAGGATTGAGAGGCGTTCGTTGCCCGGAAGAACAACAGTGAGCAATTTGGTATACGGAATTTCTGAGCCCCGTGAAGGGAACATAGAGTCCGGACTGACCGCGCTTCACTTCTCTGCTATGAATGCATGTACAGAGATGGCCGCCATCTTACTTGGATGTGGGGCCAACCCCAATGTTCGTTCTGACTTAGGCGATACTGCACTACATCTTGGGATTAGGCCCCGACTTCTCGGCCGCAAAATTAACGATGCATGGGAGGCTGGTCAGTATGCCATTGAGTCATTGACTGACTTGATCGACGATCATGAGGGCTCAGAAGCTTCTAACATCTATGAAACCATCAGCAATCAGAGGTCACTCATCGTTGAGACTCTGTTGAAGAGCGATTCTATTAACGTGAACTTGGCTAACAATCATGGGGAGTACCCCCAACATGTGATTGACTTCTATAAACCTGAGTCAATATCTATCCTGAAAAAGCTTATAGAGAAAGGTGCTGATGCATCACAACCAAACCGCCTTTTTCAGACGTGTCTTCACCTCGCTAGTATGGCGGGAAACCTAGAAGTAGTTTGCAAGCTCGTGGAAGAAGGTCATGATATCATGCTGGAGGACTCTAACCGGCGGAGCCCATTCAATTATGCAGTCTCTGGAGTCTATCTTGATACCATGGCCTTCATGTCAAAAGCCTGCGATAATGTGCTTTCAGTGGTTTGGAGTTCCCTTGACCACTTTGGCAAAAGTCCGTTACATCATCATGTTGCGTCTGATATTTGCTCTGTTCGAGTTGTGGATTACCTTATACAGCTTGGTTGCGATGTCAATCTGCCTGACAGGGACGGGAACCCGACCTTAGGTCTATATCTAGAATCATTTCACCTAGGAATACAGAGTGATATATTTCATTCGCTTGTTCAGAAAGGTGCCGATCCTCTCTGGATCAATGAACAGGGACAAAATTTGGCACATCTCGTCATGCATCATCGGGGAGCAGATATCACGGTCCTTGATTATCTGATTACTGCTGGTGTGGATCCAACGACCAGAGATATTGATGGGAAAACATTGATGCATCATGGAGCGATTCATGGTGTTTTCACCAAGAAGCTGATGAACTTTCTTGCCTGTAAAGCTGTCTTGGATGTTTGTGCCACGGCCACAGACTTTACCTGCAAGACTCCTCTCGATTATGCGGAAGAACTGGCTCATTCGCAATCATTAAGCGAGGTGTATGATAATGAAAGATCGAAAGACTCGTTGAAGAGTCTGAACATAGCACTTCTGTCGCGGTATGATTTCTTTTCCAACGATAATTGGGAGTCAAAAGCTAACCAAAGCAGTTCCGGAGAAGCTTTTAAATGATAACTTTCGACGTACTTACGTGGAAAGCCCCCCTCAAAATCCTTTCGCAGCCTTCATTCCCGGTCAGCACGATATAACCCGCCTCAGGGTCCGAAGATGCCGTCATAATTGAGCCGGAAGATGCTGTGGACTTCGACCAGGATGATGTTCTACCTTTGCCGGCCGTAAATCTTGCCAAAGTCAGAGAATTGCTTCAGCTGACTCCATTTGATCATGACAAGGGCGAATACGCCAGAAACTGTGTCGCCTATTTCACGAGTTTTGCGAAATGTCTCACATCCTCGTCAATCTTCCAATAATGTCACTCAGGCAGACATGGACTGTGATAAATCAAGGGCATTCCGGGATCAGACAAGTCGATCATGAATTTCCATTACCGACTGAATGCGAAAAGTAAAGGGCCAATCTTGTATTTCTTCTTCCGACTGATTATCGATGCAAACAATTAGGCTATGTCAGCTTTACACGACTGGCTGTATTAGATTCTGAGCTACAATCATCCTCTTCAGGAAGAATTGCAACAGTATCTTGACCATGGTCGCGCTCTTCCTATTGTGTCTGAACACGACCTCTGGAAGCTTTTGTGACTGGCATTATCGACCTTTGATATGGTCTACTGCGCGATTGATAAAGTAGCAGAGATGGTAAAGACGTGGCTGGCTAGAGAGTTTCACAAAGGGAAAATCAATGAGAATAAATGCAAAAACTATAAATGAGGATGATCCTTGAATTATACGGGACTGTCAAGGGACCGATTCCCAATCTAGTCTAGTGCGTTATTAGTCAGATCCTATAGTTGGCAACACCGCCATTTCCTATTAGTTGAAACACACACACAACATTCTTGAATACTCTGTTTCTATTAGTCCCACCTGATCGGTTCGAATCCACCTTACTCAGCCATACTTGACAGGGACGAACCCCGTTCTAAAAGCGGTCTGCAAGTGGGGCATTAGATGAGCGCACTTGTTTCTATGAATTAATGTTTTGCGATGAATTCAATGTTTGGAGATCATGATCTAGATGGAACCGCGCCTGGCATGAGTACCTGAATCAAAGATCAGACATGCATTCCCATTAAAAAAGGGGTGCGCCAGACCCTGAGACAATGGCTTGAGTTTGTCGACTTCATTTTTCTGAGATACAGTATACTTAGTTCCCTGATCTTCGATCTTATCCATACACCGTTGCGCCAGTTCTTCCATTTCCTGCATACATTCGTCGGCTGTACTGCGGACCTCGGAATTGATATCCTCGACCCGTTCATAAAATTCGTCTTCGTGCATCTTGTAATCGGCATACAGCTTATCACGGTAATCGTCCGTGATGCCATCCAAATGCTCGTTCAAAAGTTCATTGACGCAGCAAGTTAGACTCTCCTCGATAAATTGATTTAAGCGGCACTCAATCATCTCACCGACTTCGGCAAAACTAACCTTCTCAGATTTAGTTGGCAGGTCACTATTGATATCTTCTGGAATGGCAAGTAAATGCTGGCGTCCTGATTCAACTAAAAGTTTCCGGACTAGTTCATCAGAAACACCATGAAGCTCACGTTTGAGACGCATAATTATATCATGCTTATTTCTGTCAGGAGAGAGACGATGTGTAAACTGCGAAGGGCAAATTGACCGCGGTGATAGAGAAGGGGTACTCGGGGTGTTGACTTCAGTAGGCGAGTCAAGCTTTTGATCTAGCTGTTCAAAGGATGGAAGGAGCGCCCGTTTTTTTGTTACATCATCAGGTGGAGATGGATCTGAATTTTATCAGTATGCGATTGAATGACGATAAAGTTTTGAGAAAATACCTCTGCGCCGTTTTCTAGAGGTATGACTACGGGTAGACTCGACGTAGCATGGGGGTAGGTCGAACGAGAGATCAAAGACACGACAGTGCCTCTCAAACAGATCAAGGCCTGTGTCATAAAAAGCCTTTGAATGTCGAAGATTGCGAGCTTTCAGGGCATAGGAGAAGTTGTAGAGAAGATCAAGCTGATTATCCACAAATTGTCGTCTACAAAGATGAAGATGCAAAACTTTTGATTGACATATCTTCGAGAATGAAAGGAAATTTGTGTCTTCTGGATTGGCTGGACGTATATAGTCTGTTTTAGATGGACAAAAAACGACTCCGGGCTCATCAAGGTGCAGAATCAGTGTCAAGGCTTCCGATGTATTAAGTACAGCTACGGGGAGCAAAGAAATCAAACTGGATGGAATGAGCCCATCGTTGCTTTTTGTGGCCACGCAATGATTGATTATTTCTGGACGGAGATTCAGATGCACCTGTGATCTATTGCTGAAGTCAGCGAGGTCTGCTATAATTGAAAGGGAGATGGATCCTTGTTTGGTAGTGTGATCATGGGCAACACGAAGTCGAACAAGACAGGACACATCAAATTCAGGTGCATGAACAAGGACTTTTTTTCAAGACCCATAGTGAGTTTTGGGAGGTAGTCGTCATATTGATTTGGAAAGAAGATATAAGAAAAGGATAACCCTCGATGAATCGAGTAGCCCTCCCACCCAGGCTTTTGAACAGCTTGAAGCAGCCCTGACTTGAGTTAGATATTGTGGATAAAATAGCAAGAAAGAATAGCGACTATTTAGTAAAAGTTCTTGTAGCCTGGCCACGAGTACCTGCCCAATCTAGAAATCATCAAGTGAAATCAGAGAGTCCTATGATAACACAGGAATGACAGGCCTGACGACTAGAGGTCGGCACGGTTTTACGGATATCCGTATCCGTAACCGTAACCGTAGAAATTCTACGGTTACGGATACGAATAAAATCTCTACGGTTACGGTTACGAATAAATGCCCTCTATCCGTACGGATATCCGTAATATCCGTAGCATATATCACGTGTCTAGAACCACCTACAGTTCTAATATATATTTCCACATCTATAGAGTTATAAATCTCATGTAATTCTCAAGTAAAAGAAATTTCAATAAGGAATCAATATTATATACATCTCTTAACAAAACTAACTCTCTCATGGTCTTACTGTTCAGAGATTGTCGACGAACACCCAGGATATCCCTTACAGAACTGAAAAGTCTTTCAACTGAAACCTCAGCTGCTGGAATACCAAGGTAGTCCCTTGCAACTGCTGCCATCCTGGGGTGTTGATCATTATGAGCGTTCCACCATGAAAGCAGCCACTTAGAGCCCTCCTGGTCTTCTATTAATCCTTTTACTTGAATAGGAGGTTCGTCAAAATAGCGATCAATATCAGAAGCCCAAGATACTTTTTGAGAATGTACTTTTTGTAGAAGACGAGCTCTCATACCTGGTCGAGCAGGAGGATCCATAGTTCTAGAAGTAAAACTAGAGATGGAGGTAGCCAAGGGGGAATATTTCTTATGAAGAAAGACCTTAATGCTCTGAATGATTCCTTGGATAACCCCATCTTCAAGCTCTTGTTCCATTTCCTATACTTTTGCATTCCAACCAAGACAGCAGAAGAGATATCAGGACTAAGCCCTGCAAAGTCGCCTTCAAAAGAAGCTGCTTCTATAAGGAAGATTGATAGTCGCCAGACTCGGCGTGGTAGGAGACTTATTCTATCAATGAATGAATAACTATTTAGATATCAAATTAGGGACTTGGGATGATAAGTTTCTATCGTGGTATCGTATGATCTATTTAGGCGGTGGCATAATATCACGGATATAAGTTCTCGACTACGGTTACGGATACAAATAATCCAAAATCTTACGGATATGTATCCGTGCCGACCTCTACTGACGACGAGTACCACATAGAATAAATACTGCAAAGAACGATAGGAATAATAAAGTCAAATGGGTAGGTGGTAGAGAAAGAGAATTATATAAGGGGCGGGAGCACGTGACGTAATGGATTTGTTGAATATGAGTCCTGGTTAGTTCGTATTAGTCTGAGCGTCTTGGCGTATGATACATAGAGATTCTGTGTACCTGAGCTATTGAGCGAGTGAGGATTTGTAAAGAGACTAAGATAATGCATGTGAGAAAATATCCCTTGAAAGTTGAAGGCTATTGGACAGTGATATCCCTCCTGAAACGTTAGCATACTGCATAAATCCTTGAATATTAGAAAATTATTAGGTGATGTTATCGCCTCGGCCACTGCGCAGACTTTGAGCACCGGCTCTTGTTTTCTCGTATTATGCTATGTCAAATCCAATTCCTGCTGCAGTAGAAATTTGCGGACGATGATATGAAATGACTAGAAATAATCTAAGCAGACCCAATTTGAAAGTGCAGCTTGAGCACGGGCTCCAGTTTTCTCGTATTATCACATACGCCACTGCCGCTAATGTAACAGGTATGGGATATAATCAGCATGGTTAATAGCGTTTCAGAGGAAAAATTTGCGGACGAATTAATTTCAGGGTAGAAAATTCTATTCCATAAACAGCAATGATATGGCCTCGCAGATACGGAGTCCGAAGCGAGGATAGTTATGTCGGATTCATTTCCCCATAAATTTACATATGTAAATAGGCCGCCGAAGGCCAAAAATGATGCAACACATTCAAGCTATTTCTGTTATTTTTAGATAAATAATTAAAATTCTCTGAGTAATTAATCCAAGTTTGTCTTACTGAGAAGGAAGCTAAGAACATAGAGTCTATTCAATATTTGTGAGAAGTAGAGTAAGTAGGAAGACCCTGAGCTGATGATTATTCAAACAGGGCTTGACCTCAGGTCATTTGATGAATTTCGAAAGAATGGATTCTCTCCTTGGTGTCTAGGCAAATTTGTTGTCTATTCTCATCTTATATTCTGGCTCGTTTTTGTGATTTTTCTCTTCTTAGCTATTGTGATCGCGCACAAAACTGATCATTATTAAAGGAGAGGAAACATATACCGTATTAATGTTAAGCAAGATTTGGCATCATGTCAAGCTAAGCTTAGTCAGTTTAACGGAAGATAATTGTGAGCTCGCGAGAACGATAAGCTAAGTATCAGTTCAATCGACGACGAAACGCTTCAGACGAAAAGCAAGATATGTTACTCAGATGGGAGTGGGAAAGACGATAAGATTGGCGCGACATCTAGGAACAAGTGATGAGTCATCAGTACACATGGCAGATATCAATGGGATAGAGATGGCCATCGCCAACCTCAGTAAAAGACATACCAAGACGATCATCAGGTCAATTCGCGATCGCAAGGATATATAAACATATCAGAGCACTTCAACCAGATACACTAGTGGATATCGAGATCCACTGGATCCCGGCCCACACGGGCGTACCAGGAAATGAAAGCGCAGACATCGAAGCAAAACTGGCCGCGGAGAATACTGATGGGACGGAACAGGGGTTTCCCGATCCAACAACCCAAGGAACCAGATTGATGTCAATCGCAAAGCGGGAAGTACGGGCGCAAATCAGAGCCCAGTGGGCGTGGGAGTGGGTCAAGGAGAGGACTGGAAGGCCTAACCATAGGCTTACCAAGATCCCCGCAAAGAAGAACCTCCGGATATTTGAGGGATTGCCGAAAGCTTACGCTTCGAGGCCAGCCGCTACGTGGCCAAATTCATGATCCAAACAGGGCTCCTCGGACAGTTCCGATAGATAGAAGCAGAGTCTGACTCTGACAAAACTCAACCGGATGAAGAAGAAGGAGACTACGATAACTAGCTACGAATGGCGTGACGTGGTGAAGACGGTGGGTAATAGGAACGCCAAAACCAAAGCCTGCCGAGAGGCCTAGGTTAACTACATCGAAAACATACAGAAAAACAAGAGGAAGGAAACAGGAGAGGGGAAGAACACGAGAAGTGAGAGAGGAAGACAGAGGAAGTGGGTTTACTAAAGACGTTACGGTTTAAGTGGGATTTAGGGTTGGCTCAACGACATATTTCTTTTGTATTTATCTTGACATTCTGGCATTCGGAAAGCTCTTGTTTCCGCTGAAGGAAACGCCTACATAGCCAGACGTCACTATTTAGGCTGCACTAGGTTAATAGAGTTATTGATTGATTGATTGATTGAGCTCGCGAGAACACCAATTAGAGAGGCTTTCTGCTAAGTAGAAGATTCATATTTCTATTATCGCATTACCCCCTCTATACACCTCTTCATCAAACTACCGGTATAGCCTGTTAAAAAGAGGACTAGATTCCGCAAAATACCTATAGTTTTGTCGTAAGCATATCTACTAAGAAGCAGTGGATACCATAGGGAAAGAGTTACTCACCTCACTCCTCATTTTTTAGGTGGATTACACTGAGGGCATTCCGTGGACGGTCTGATAATATTGATCCATGTCTGACCCGGACACTTCTCACCCGGTTTACACTGGCTGACAGGGCGATATCCCCCGACATGACCGCAAGCGTAGTTTAGATCTTCCCAGCGACACATCTATAGTATGTGAAGCTGTCAATGAGCAGGGTAACCTTTGAAGTTGAGCTATAGATAGCACTCAAAGGGGCCGAACCTTATTGGAGGAAGAGAATTGATAAATTTCTGAGGAAATCCGTTTTGGTAGGAAAGATTGTTGATTTCTTAGGGCTCGAGACCTGCTTTTAATATTAACCAGTCTTCTAGATCTACATGGCAATGGGGA